CGCGCCAAAAGGGACGAAGCAACGCTCACACGTTGGAAACGATGATCATGGGAGAGTTCGCGAGGCATCTATAGAGTTTCCCATATTCCTTAGATGTTTACATATTGTTTCATGACAGATATGCAATTTCAAGGCCATTTCACGAGTGTGTTGCCTTGGGTTAGACAACAAGTGTCTTCGGAGCATCAATATCAATTCCAACATGTCGGCCCCCGCCATCACGAAATTTGCTGATCCATCGTTGACTCTTACGAACGTTCAAAATATTTCTATAAACTTCTTTGATAATATTTGTGGCTACAGAGGCGTTGTTTCCCTTCTTGTATTCAAACAGCATTACATGTCGAATGTGTGTCTCGTCGTGTGCCATCACTATAAGGGATTAGAGTAAACTAAACTTAGCACATTATATAGGCTACACTAACGTGACGTTTAGGCGGTTCGTTTAACTATTATACTTGATGTACTCAAATTCGATAACGAGGAACCCACTTTGAGACTAATAATGTCTGGAGACGGCTTGAATGGGTAATGAAGAAAAACTTTAATATAAGTTTAACATAACAGCAACAGTACCTGATGATGACAAAACCTTGTCGAAACACTGTACATTTGCTGTTATGTTAAATTTATATTAAAGTTTTCTTCATTACCCATTCAAGCCGTCTCCAGCCATTATTATACTTGATGTACGTTTTTCGGAGGTGGTTAATGAAAGTGTTCCAAAACGCGACATTAATTTCTTGACGACCTAATACTAAAAAGCAAATCATTATACGTACACAACTAGGTCAATGGAAAGAAATACACACACACACACACATATATATATATATATATATACATCAATCTATAAACAAAAATAGTTTGATGCTAAATGAAACTGAAAAATTAACAAATATTCTAACAAGAAAATATCCAACCTTCGAAACTAGTGTCTCAAAGCATTGCTTGAATTCCTAAAGTCAGATGCCTCCCCTCCCCAATTTTGTTTAAACCCTAAATTAATAAAGCTACCAAATGAAAATATTTAACATTTATATTTATTACTAAACTGCTCAGCATAAATATTTACATTTTTGGATTTAAAGTCGTCAAATGTAGACTATTTACATCATTTTTACTTAGTGGAGGAGACTTAGAGATGTTATCTCCTTCTACCATATATAACATTTCATAGGAGATGATACCCCAAGGAAAAAAACAACAACAAATAAACCATGTTCCTCAAAAAAGTGAGTCATTCTAATGACCAAAAATGTTTCTTAATTGAAGAAAATTTAAACCTGTCTGTAATACATTACTACAGTTTGCTTGTTTTTAGAATTTCACGCAAAACTACTGCGACGCTATTTACCCCAAGTTAGAAATAAAAAAACTAAAAGGAAGGCAGCTAGTCAACATTCCCCAGTACCAACTGTTAGGCTACTCTTTTACCAACGAAAAGTGGGATGGACCATCACTTATAACAACACCACAATTGAAAGGGCGATCATGTTCAGTAATAGGATTCAAACTTGCAATCCGCAGGTTGCGAGTCAAATGCCCTAAGTACCAGGCCTGCATTTCATTAGACTAGAAACATAAGAGTAAAACATACAGGAATAGTACTGTTACCGCAGGCCCCAATAACATAATTATTTCCGATTATTATTAAACTAAATGCAAGTCTTCGATTTATATCAACTTTTAATGGACTGTAGCAAGATACATTTGTTTTCCTGGTCAGATACAACAACAAAACATTATTCCATCCTGCCAATTGGCATATTTTATTTACTGTACAATGATGTTTCTTTTCTGCGAAAAGTCATAAACCAATCAACTAGTAAAAAAAATATTTAATATACCACTTAACTTTCTGAAGTTCAACTAACCTTGCTACAGATTACTTAATAAATTTTCCTTAACACAAAACTTTGAAACTAGCAGAATGTATTCTAAAATCTTGTTCCATTTGTTGAAGATTGTGTGATATGAATACCTCCTTTTGTCATAAAGCTGTGATATAACGAGTTATTATTAAATATTAAGGAATGTACTAAAGTGAATGATGAACAAAAAACACGACTTAAAAATAAGTTGGATGACTTACTATTATCGTCATTGATAGAGATATATACTGATCATTTCAAAGAACCTCTAAAGGTATAGCTATATTACATAAAGTGTGCTGGACTAAAGTATTATAGAAATTTTGTTCCTTTAAGTAATCATACAAGTTATTTATAATTTTACTTGTTAAACATTTATTGACAGAAATTATCTACCCAGAAAAAATATGTTATAATTCCTATAATTAGTGTTTTCATAACCTACTTTCAAGGCTTTGGAAAGCACTGTAAAACAAATTTCACACTTTTGCAGAGGTATCAGGTAACAACAGCTATAATCCCCTGAAAATACAGAAATTATATCATCAGTATTATAGATAAAAAATTTTAGCTTCAGAGATTATCCTTCCAGTGTGAAAAATCACAGAGTTCTATGTTGTATTGTGACAGATTTCCACTTAGCCTAAAGGATGACAATTCCACTCTTGTATGCTAGTACCAAAGACTCTGTAACTAAACAGATTTCATTGATAGTATATTGAGTTTCAGCAGATAAATTGGATAACCCCATACAATTGTCTTACATTTCAAAACTAAATGAATGATCTGAAAGAATCTTGTATGTCTACTGTATTACCAAAAGCAGTGTGACAATAATGTATAAAATTTAATAGATATGGTATGTGTTAAGGCACTGTGCATCATCACAGAATTTCATCAATGTAGGAAGTGCAGTATCACCATAATACAAAAAGGAATTCCTGGTTTCATTAAATATTACTGGTGGACCAAGTACAAACCATGATAATACTCTTTCACTCTTCATGGCTCAAGGAGTCATACCCAAAACTTTTCTCAGGTTGCCATCAACTCAAACCCATTAATCTGAAAGCAACTAAGTGGTGGGATTCATCATGTCTTGCATTAATAGCTGTGATGAGTGGCTTATGGTCTCCAACTCTGTGAAATCCAGCAGCAGTGAAACTCTCTACATATAATACATGTACTAACCTGTAATCCTGAACTCTTTCTTAAAGTCATGGGTGATGGAGTTAATGTCAGAGGTACAGTTTGATTTCACATCATGATACAAAGTTTGTATAAACCAAAGAGCAGTTTATCTGGGTGGAGTAGGCTGATATCCCACATTAGCACATCAAGTGGATTTCTGTTTCTTTGGCACATTGCCCACAGTAAAATTAGGTAACTATAGCTGCCTAAAATGTATCAAACTCTCATACTACCAATAACTATTCCTCTTTAACAGGCCACAAGTAACTTTCTTCATGACATCTCAACTTTTAAATGACTGTTTATCACTAGATTTTGATATGGGTGATATCCCAATAATTTTGGTAATACTGTGTTACAGTTAAATTAATATTATATTACCATTTGATTATTTTAGAATACGTTCATAAATGTATTTTTTACTTTTTTTTTTTCTAGGGCTGTGCCTTTTCAAAGTAACTCTGAAGAAGGATCCAGATCTTTCATATTTTAAAAGCAGGTTCCTTGTGATTTGGGCTATGTTTCTTTTAGCTGTAGGAACATGTATATTTTTCTTGGTGTTAATGCAGGCACTGATTAGAAATATGTCTGGTCAAGCTATAACAGGAAAACCTCATATTTGTTAGTTACAGACAATACACGCCTTACATATTATGATATTGTTACGTCTCATAAAAGAAATGGTAGTTTTCTTATAATTTTCTCTAATCAACTTGCTATATTGCAATTTATTGAAAACCATTGAAAGAGTCTGTAATAAGAAAAGCTAGTATTTTAGTCCAACCACCTTTTTCATTTTTCAATGAATAATGATTGGGAATACATATTAAATATTTACGTTTGCACTGAGCCTTTAAATTTTTTTTTTCATGGTATAAAATATTTCTACATGATAATTCCCTGCCTAAAGCATTATAAAAATTCAAATCCACCCTATTTTATTAATTCAAGCAAATTTTTAGTGAAAAAAAACTATTGTTTTATGTTGGGCTTATCCTTTTCTATTTGTGTATAAGATTGAATGAGTTCATACATTTTTTCATCCTATTATTGCTGTGTGTAGCTATAATAGCTATACTGTTTATTTCACTTTTTTAAAAACTTGGGAAAATCCATTGAAGTTAAAATAAGCAAAATTAATGTTTGCTGTTAATAAAGATTTCAAAGTGAAGAAAATGTCTGAGCCAAAGGTCTGTCATTTAATTTACTGAATAACTGCCTAACTTTCAGCTATATTTATAGTATAAGTTGTAAGACCTTCGTTGGAATTGTGTTATGTTAAATTAATGTATTTAAACAAACTGAGTATGTGATACTAATGACTACATTAAAAAATTAAGTACACCCAATTTTTGAAGTATTTACTTTGAACTTTGCTCAATTTAAAATCTCTTACAGATGACTAGTTCTATAGTTGAATTTCTTGGATAGTCACCTATTGATTTTTATTGTTCCAAGAGAGATTTTGATGTGAAAATGTTTAATCATTAGAAGTTATAGTTTCATATGAAATTGTTTTAAATTTTTATGTTACAAAACTATCACTTTTGACTAGTACCAACTTTAATGCTATTATATAATGCATACCTCTTACAAGTTTGATATGGCAAAGAAAATAGCAATAAATATATATAATAATGCATGTAAAATACATGCAAATAACATACTGGAAGTATTACTACTTGAATTTTGAATAAATATTAAAAACACTTATAACTGTTGCTTCTAAACACATTAGAAAATCTTAATACAAACAAAAACAACACATACCTCAAAATTAAAACAAGTACTGAGGTGAAATAACAATAAAATTAAATGAAGATAGGTTGAAAATATTTATAATAAACATAATGTCATATATATTTATAAAAGTCACAAATATTATAAATGTATTTTAGCCAGGCTGCCACAATTTCATTTCAAAATGCATAGTTACTTTGCTATATATATTAAGCATTTTGAAAGCTTTCCCCTAAATTGTTTAATTTTACCCTGTAGGTGAAGTTTAAAAATGTAAAAATTAACAAGTCTTCCTTTTAAATGCACCAATACTCCTTAGCCTATCAATTTTTATACAATACCTTCTATGAATAGATAAATCATAAACTAACTATTGATATTTAATGATATTTTTATCTTTTGCAAGATTAAGCACTGACATTGACAAACTGTCATATTTCTAGGAAACTTAGATCAAAAGAAACAAACCTACAATATTGGAAATAATTAAAGAAACAGAGAACAAAGTGAGTATATAATAAAACTTACACAAGATAGAATAATATCTTTTGTGTAAAATTGAAATGTGCCTAATGCAGTGTTGACATGTCATAATATGACTGACACTCAAGTAACTAATCTGAAAGTATGAAACCAGCCTAAAGCCTATATAAGCACAGGAAGTGATACAATTTTAGAGTCTGAAACTTGTGGTGAACATGGTGGCTCCTGGAAGGGAATTACAAATGACAAGCATATAGAAATCAAAGTTTTGACTAAAGAAGACTACTCCTATAGACAAATCACAGCCTGATTTCATGTTTCTTCCAGTGCTATATGCAAGATCCTGAAGATGGATTGTGAAACTAGTACTGTTAACAACAGAAGTGGTTGAGGAAGAAAATCCAAACTATCCAAAAATGATGTAAAGTTCCCCAGGGTGAATTTTATGCAGGATAGACAATGATCCAGTAGAGATCTTGTGAAGGACCTTGCTGCAAGTACAAATGTTATGTTTATTCTAGAAAAGTAAGATACACAGTAACCAAGAACAGTTTCAATGAGTGCATAGTTGCTTGGAAACTTTCACTGAGAAGAGACAACAAACCAAAAACTGAAATAGGCAAAAGAAATGTGACAGTGGGTTGTTCAAACCTTGAAAAAAGTGCTCTTTACAGACAAATCTAAGTTTAAACCATTTGACAATAATCAATGGCAGTTTGTTCGAAGGTGGACTGGAGAGCAGTATAACAATAAGTACACAAAAGTTATAGTAAAGCATGGGGTGGATCAATACAATGGTGGGGCTGTACTTCAGCCAAGGATGTCAGGGAATTACATAAAAGTTATTATTTTCCTACACTGAAAATGTATTTCAGATAGGTACTTACCTCCTCTCACATAAATAGCTATTCTCATTCAGTGCTGCCCTCTATATGCAAAAAATATTTTTATGCCTGCCATAAGCCTTCTATCTCTCCTCCACTGGAATTGACCAATAGGAGTGCAACACACTCTCATGACACATGTGACTCCCTCTATTCCATTCTACCTAAACTATCACTTCGAGTTTTGGCAGAAGATGGAAGCACCGGTTTTCAGTGGGGAGGAAGGGTGAGTGGAGGTAAGAACCTATCAGAAATATATTTTCAGTGTAGGAAAATTATAACTTCCAATATGGTACATTACATCCACTAACATAAATAGCTAGAATCCCAGATTGAATAGATGGAGGGACCAGTGTGAGGGAAAGAATGCTGCTAAGAAATAAGGAGGTGGGAATGGATGCCATGGAAGGAAGCCATGCAAGCAGTATAACAGCAAAGAGCAATATCTGTCTGGATAAAGCTTGAATAAAGGTGGGAAATGGAAGGAAGGGAAATCAGCAAAAAGGAGATGTTTCCCTCCATAGCTGCCAAAGTTTTGAGGTGGAAAGGATGATCCAGGTAAAGGAGAATATATGTAGGTTGATAAAGAGTACGTGAAACATCAATAGCAAAGAAATCAGACCTCCATCATCCACAGGCTGAAAGGAGAAAAAAATATGTCTTAAGGGAAAGATGAAACAAGGAGCATGTGGAAAGTGATTTGAATAGAGGCAATATGAGGCAGTGAAAAACCACATTAACATCCCAGTCTGGAAGGGTAGCCTCCTGTAGTGGACGATGAATCCGGAAGGAACACATTAACATGGAAAATGTAGAAGAGGTAAATATAATACAGCATCGGGAAAAACAAAAGATGCAAGACAAAGCTGCCTGAAAACCTGATACTGAGGAGATAGAAGACCCTCAATCACGAAGCCATGTAGGAAATTCCACAATATCAGAAACAGTGAGTTGATCAGCAGAAAACCCTCAACCCATAAACTGACTGCAGAAAATGTTCCATTGACATTGATAAACTTCCATGGAGAAGGGCAAATGGAATGAGCCAGAAATGAAGTTACTCGCCAGCACAAAGCTGGACCTCCTCACCAAGGTCTGGATAAATACCAAGCATGAAGGGCTGGATGAAGCACCAGTGACCAAGGTTGATGAAGAAGGGAGGGAGACAGAGGAAGAGGTAATGGAGGGATAAGATGGAGCTGGAGAAGCCATGGCTGGGGCAGCCAGTAAGGAGCAATCAGAAGGACTTGACACAGAGTGGTATAGATGATCGAAATCTCCCAGTGAAGATGTCGAATGGGAGGATATACATATAGATATTTGTTGGTCCAATCCTGGCTGAAAGCATTGACAGCAAGAGGATGAGGTACTGGAAACCAAAAAAGAGGTAGTTTGTGGTTGAGAGATATGGCAAAGCCACTGGAAAACATCATTGAAAGCACCCGGAACATGACATGCAATGATATGAATATCTTGCATATGGCCTCAAAAAAAGAAGATCCAATGTAGGATTACAGAGGGACCAAGAACTCGTGCAAATCTGGTGATGGAGATAAGCAATCACCGTAGAATTGTCAGAATGGATCATTACCAGATCAAAGCCCGACATATAGCTCCAGAATGTTCATATGATAAGACTTCTCAGCCACATACCAATACGCTGACACTTCTTGACGCTGGCAGGTGATAGGATCCCGAGGCAAATAGAAGGAATTGGGTTTATATGTTTGTAATCAAGCACAAAGCTACACAATGGGCTATCTGTGCTCTGCCCACCACGGGTATCAAAACCCGGATTCTAGCATTGTAAGTCCAGAGACATACCGCTGTGCCACTGGGGGCAAGGAAATGGGTATTTGAGACAAAGGAAGGGGGAAGAAATTGGAAGATAAGTCCCTGTGATAAAACCCAAATAACCCACTGATCTGTAGCAAAAGATTTCTAAAGGGGAACAGATTTGCACAATCAAGCTCCCACTAGACTGGAACCCACTGGGTAGTTACCAGTACTGTTGGCATCATGCCCAGCTATGTCAAATAAAAGGAGATGAAGAACCCCTGGAGGGAGGAAGAGGTAATGGTTGAGAAGGACTGGGTTGGAAAACAGGAATAGGACAAACGAGCTACCAAAGAGGAAAGGTTAGAGTTTTGATGCACAGACTCCACACATAATTCCAAAATCTCAGACACATGATCGAAAACATACTGCCTAAGGAAATGGGTCTTACATAAATCCCTTAGATAAGTGGGCAGCAAATGAACCTGGGACAAGGCCGTATTCTGACACAAAAGATCCCAACAACTGAGAAACCACGTGTGAAAAGCAACAGCCAAAGATGACAAATGAGCCAATGTGGAGGTAATAAGGGAGAAGCTGTCCCTCGAAAAACGTTCAGGATCTCGATGTATTGCCTCGGAAATGATTGATGGTAGATAAATACCATAGAAGTGAAGTAAGGGTAAGACAAGGGCATGAAAATTGGGTATGGGTTAAACACACAGGAAAATCAGAGATTGCTCCCCACACAGGTAAAATAGACCCCAATTGCTGAGAATCAAGAAACAGAGAGTTAGCTTGACGGTAAGCCAAAGCAAACTAATCTGTAGTCTGTGGAGGGTGAGGTACCCTCAACCAATTGTGAAGCAAGTTGCTCAGCATGAATGTTAATGTCCGGTGAGGATGGGCAAACTAAATAAGGAGAGGAAGAATTATGATGCAACAAAGAAGGACAGGGATTATAGGGAATTGGGGAAATGCATAAAACATCACATACCTGAGAAATCATGTCTAAAATTGCCATATTAGGCCTAGCTGATTTTGCAGGTTGGGCATAAGAAGACATGGCAAAATCCAGTGGTGGAAAAAGGCTATCAAAATCTTCATTGACCCAAACAGGTTCAGCATGTTCAGGAGGAAGTGGTTGACCCATATAATAATTAATCTCCCGGCGGAGAGAAAGAGTGCTTGTAGGAGATATGATACCTGAAGTGGTAACATGTACCTAAGAATTCATTTCTGAAATATGAATCAAACAAAATTGTTTGATAGACAAATGCAAGTGTGTGAGAAAAAAAAATGACTGGGAAATTAAGTTAAAGTAAAAGGCATCTTCAATATAATGCAAAAATTGATGAAGAAATCCCACTTTGGAATTGAAACTATTAAATTTACGTGTGCAAAGCACACGAAAAACACCAAAAGCAAAAAACATTTGAATGCGAGTACTGCCAAAAAATTGTTTGCATATGGAGGAAGCACTGAATGAGAATAGCTATTTATGTGAGTGGAGGTAATGTACCGTATCGGAACTGAAGGTACCCTGACTGTTGACAGATACAAGCAGGTTCTGAACCACCATGTCAGAAATGTATCTTATTGGGCAGAGTTTCATCTTTAAGATGAAAATGACCCCAAGCATACAACAAATATTGTGAAAACCTATTGGAACGTAAAGAGGTTGATGGAACACTCACAACAATGTTATGGCCTTCACAAGGTCCTAATATGGACATCATTGAGGCCATATGGTGTTATATGGGTGCTGAAAATGTTATACAGCAATCAAACAATTTGGACGATTTGGTGTTACAGGATATTAAGAACAACATACCATAGTCCTTCATTGAGAAACTGTATTGGAGCATGAAGGTATGATGTCAAGCCCTATATAGAGCAATGGGCTCATATTCCAAATATTAATCTTCTACACAGTGTATTAATATGTCTTTGCATATCTTCTGTCATAATGCATTGTGCTAATGTTTGTGCATATTTGCCGAAGATAATTTGCATTATATACCCACTTTTCCTCTGTTTCTATATTAAAGTTCAATACTGTATATCTTATGAATTTCTGTCACTTGAGGGATACAGCAGCTCCTCACTACAAGCTCAATCTTAAAGTGATTTTATTTGAGCCTGAGAGTTTGGTATAAAGATTGATAAATTCAGCTACTTAAGTAATTCTAGATGCTTTAATCAAGATAACTTACAACTTGAACAATGAGCATACTTATTAACTTGAGTATAGAATAATTTCAATGTATTTAGTTACTCAAATAAACATCAGATGCAAAAAAATTTGATTGAACCTTTTAAAAGCTTCACAATCCTAAAACCCTTATCTCAATAAACAGTTAATTACCAAAGAAATGTAGTCTAAGGTGACCAGATGTCACCAAATTCTAAGGACAGTACCAAATTTTACAGCAATGTCATTAGAAGGAAACTGTCCCCCAATTATATAAAATTTAAATGTAAAGCACACTTTTTAGTCAAAGGTCACAAAAGATACATTTTCTTATGTACCTCTCACAACATTATACTAACCGAGACTAAATTCTTATAAATTACCACTGTAAATTAATTGTTTATTTATGTACTTTTTCTAAAATACCAATGTGATGTCAATGAGGCAAGTTTCTGAAGTTTCTCATATAGGTCATTTTTGTCAAATCTTCACTTAACGATTTTCTGGATACAATGTCTTCAATTAAAAAAAAAACCTTGTGCATATAATCTCAGTTTAAAATGAAGAACTGGTATTCTTTTCCATTAATTTTTTATCAAAAAATCTCTGATCACGAGATACTTTCTTCATGTTACTGCTGCTTCATACTTATTTAGTTCATTGTGAAACTGCTTTTAACAAATTAAATTTCCTAAACTCTTTGATAAAATGTACTTCAATTTACTATTCAAACAAACAATGATTACATAAATTATACATTCACAAAGCACAGCAAATATTTCATAATTCAGTGATACAACATTTGGCATAACATTTAAAAGAGTGACCCAAAACATATGTTTATTGGAAAATAAGTTGTCAGTGAAGCTGGATATACATTTAAGCTTAGGCTTTATCAACCATTATTTGTTATTTCAATAGTTCTTGTCTTATTTTTAGTATCAAGAGCTGTTCATTAAAGAAAACATTTATTCATTTAGTTTGGTCAGAGATTTTCATGAAATATTAATTAATGACAAAGAATCTAATCATAGCATCTAAATAAATACTTGTTTTCATAAGTGTGATGTTACAATTGCCATTCATGGTGCTGTTTCATAAAAATAAGCTAATTACAATAGAATCACACTAATGCAAGATAATCTTTTCAGCAGTTTTCAATTCAACTAATTACTTCATGATATTACAGATAGGAAAGTTGTGGTAAAAAAAAGCACAAAAGTACTTTAGTTGAAAACTGAACTTAACATATAATCAGGAATAATCTAGATACCTGGATTTTTAAAACCTCTAGCTCCAAGATACAGCATTTTGTTGACATCTCTTATAATTTTCAGTTAATAAATTAAAACAGGATAGTATTAGAATACTACAATACATATATTCAGTGATGTTTATAATATTATTCATCACTTAAACATGTTCTTTTCAGTCCACTTGAATTTTCTAAGTAAAAAAATCAAATGAAAAAAAAAGAAAGATTGCAACTTTATGAATATAAGTTAAGTTTTCATTGTAGAAAAAAAAATTTACACAGACATATATTCCTAATTAACAACAGTATCTGACAGAATATGATGCCAGACTTGGTTATGCATCTTAATTATATCAAACAGAAACAATTTTCTTTAAGACTGCAAAAATAACCCAATTGTCTTGAATGAAAACAGTAAGAAAATAAAATATTTGGTATGACAGTTTAGTTAATTCAAGCTTCTACTGCTTAATTCCATACCTCCCTTATACTGCTTCGTAATGTACCTAATATTTATAGTTTTATAATTTAGTTGTCAGTGGTTTAATATATTGGATTTTTTTCCTTTAGTTATAAACTGACATTAGTGCTAGTCTCGACTCTAAGGTAAGAGAAACTGAAAACATTGAAATACATATTTATATTATCTTTACAGCAACTGGCCAAAAATGTCACAATATATACTAATAACGTTAAAAAATGTACATTCATAATTTCATATTCTATCAAATAATAAAATGTTTATATTCTACTTACACTACGTTATAATATATTGTAGACTCATAAAAGAAGTGCACTCATATTCTGTTATAATATACTAAAAACCCAATAAAAACTATGTTACCATTCTGTTGACATTAAGTAAATAGATATTGTAGATTCACATAAACAAGCTTTGTTTTATTCTGTTTACAGTGAAGTAACAGAAACTGAAGACCTTAATAAAAAAGCATGATTCAGTCTTGTTGATAGTGAAATAACAGGTACTGAATACTCAAATAAAAAAGAAGAATAACTCAATTTTTTTGACACTGAAGTAACAAATACTCAAGACCCAAATAAATAATCATGATCTTTTCTGTTGACAATGAATAATGGACAGTGTAGATATACACAAGGAGTAGATCCTTACAGTGTAGACACTGAGGCAACAAGTATAGTAGTCAATTACTATTTTGGTGTTACCAATATAACACACCTTCTAGATGAAACATAAAATAAACTTTGTTGATAATGACTGGCAGACTATAAAGAAACAGAGGGTGTAGACCCAAAGGAAGTGTTGACTGTAATTGTCAGATTGTAAAGAAAACATGTTGATCCAGATATAGAAATATAGTTTAACAGTGTTGATTGTAAAGAAAACATGTTGTAGACTTAGGGTGACCAGATTTCCAGACCAAAAACCTTGGACAGCCTAGCCCTTGCTCCTAATTTCAAAATGGTTATTACAAGTTTGAAATAATTAAACTTTTATTTAATTTACTTTAAACTTATTCAACTGTTCTACAATATTTCCAATGTTTTTGAAATAACTTCAACTACTTTTTTTATGATAAACACAAAAAAGTGAACAAAAATAGTCAAATTATGTATCCAAAAAATCTTTAATTATTCACTATATCCAATTCATCATAAAATAAGCTACTTCATACTTGGATTTATTTAAGAATACGTAACATTGTCAAACATACTACTTTTAGGTTTAGCATTACTTTGAAACTTTTTAAGACATATTTTTGTGAAGAATGAATGAAATGTAGAAGTTCTGTTTTTTCATTAAATAATAAAAAAATTCAGTTCATGGCTATCTGTTATAAAATTCAGTACATGACTGTAAATGTGTTTTTACAAAGAGCACTGACTTAACTGTCCCCACATTCAGACCTGGGTTTCTCACCATGCACAGATGGAACTTTTGAGAGGGTTTGGATGCAGGAGAGTATGTGTTACAACAATGAGCAAGTCAAGTAGGCCTGTTACATTCATGATTCAATGTGGCTGACAGTTTGATGCCTATCATAAAATGGGATGTGTTGTGCACCCAGAGAACTTTTCAGGGGACACCGAGACAAACTATCAAGAAATGGGACTGTTCCAGAAAAACTGGGACATATAGTCACCCTATGTAGACCCAAGTAAGGAAATCTAGTTTAACAGTGTTGATTGTAACCAGCAGACTATAAAGAAACAAATGCTGTATGCTCAAATGATGATCTCTGTTTCTAAGCACTGATTAACAGTCTGTGAAGTAACAGACATTGTAGACCTGACGAACAGACACCAACTTTAACCTTATGACAATGACTGGCAGACTGATAAGTAAAAGATTTTTAAGGCCCAAATAAGAAGTTGCTTCAAAATTGTTAATAATGACTGATAAGCCATGAAGTAGTAGATACAGTACACCCAAATGTTAATAGTAGGTTCACTGTGAAGGAAGAAATTTTGTAATTCTAAATGAAGAAACCTATTTAAACATTTTGTTAGTGACTGCCTGACTGTGAAATGGTATGTATTACAGATCCAAATGACAAAATCCTGCTTCAGCCCTGCTGACAGTGACTGAGTATGATGTAACCAATATTGGATTGACGAATCACTTGATAACTTTTTAAGTCTTATTAACACCAATTAAAAACTTCAAATATATGGTGTAAAAAGCCAAATGAGAAAATATGCTCTTACACATAATTTACAGAATTCACAGAAAATAATGGGCTTTATCATCAAATTCTTTAAGATTCCACAAACTCGTTGATAAACCACATAATCCATCTTATAAGATCTATTTAGAACGCAGAAGCATTGTTACATAACCACTAAATCATTCTACAAAATAAAGATTAGAAGAGTCAGTGGCAATTATTTTCATACTATAAGACTTCTCACAAATGATGCAAGCAATATGCATTATATTTTCAAGGTACTGAGATATTTTAGACATATGTTATTTAAACGTTAAACTATTTGTCACAGAATAATCTTATCATCAATGCACATCAAGTAACATGTTCCTATTAACATGCCATGTACTAACTCCTAGTACAAGTCTACCTAGTTACCATTACGTTTTGGCTCTTTCTTGTTGTAGCAGTATACAGTTTGCTGGGGTAACAACTGTTTAGAGTGATTCAAATGTTTTAGTGTGTTTCAAAAAGCCTATAAAGGGCAGTACACCTCAAACTAACCTATTGATGTTAACACTATAAGAAGCTTAGTCTTGTTTTTGATTTGCCATTGCCCTGAGTTACTGATGATAGGTAAGTGGTAGAATTCTTTGAAACTGGTCTAACTCAGTGACAGGTAATGAACTGAAGCATAGATTGGGCTTCATATTTCTTTTTAGTACCTTAAACAGCTTGTCTGTTGGGTATTCAGAAGAAAACTTAGTAGTGTCAATGGTGCATATATTTTTTCGAAATATATTAATATTCACTGTGGTGAGTTAAAAAAAAAGAGTAATCAAAATGCAGTACATGAACTTGATCTATCTTAAAAGTAAACAGTATACTCAGAAGTATTAATATCTATTTAACTTACTTAGTTGTTACTTACTGCTCATTATTTCGATCTTATTTTCTATCTAAGACAGCCCAGTATTTCATTTTCTCATTCAATCTGTATTAAAACTAGTTTATATGTGTTTTCTAACTTAAAAGCTTGAATGGGCAGTAAAGGTAGTTTTGACTTCCCTTTTATTTATTATATTTTCATTGATACTGTATGCATATATTTGTATCTATGTAACAATCCATTTTTTCTGATATATATTGACATCCTTTTACATAGTTATTATCTTTGTACTGAAACTGTAATGCTTTTCTTGCATGATTTAGTATAGGTACTATTTTTTTACTGTAAGCATCAGTACTAAAAAGCTTCTTTTGTCTTTTTTTATTTACAATGATATGTTTGTGACAGAAATGATGTCCATAAATTTTTACAACATTTTGTACATAAGCTCGCCCTCTTAGTAACATTCTGTGAGTAATAAAAATTGTATGAATCATCTCCTAGACAACACTAATTGTAGAGTTCTTCCTGTTTTACTCACATATACAACTATGTGCTGGCTCAGTGTAGCTACACCAATAAACCACTGCCACATACATTAAATACAGAAATTCTCTACGTGCTTTTTCAACGATGGCTAAACAGGTCTCCAGCAGAGGGAAGTGGGGCTAAACCTTCAGTAACATTTGGAAGAAGTGTCAGATCTGGGAGATTCTGCAGATGGGACTTCAATTCATTCTGCACTCTTGTTACTTTTTGCAATTTTTCTCTATATTCCTGAAAAGAAACACAATACAACAGTTAACTTGCCTCTAAAATGTAAAATATATTCAAATTTAAAGAATTAAATAAAATTATATACAGGTACAAAAGAAAGATGTTTTTGAAAGTTATAATTTTCCTACACTGAAAATGTATTCCCGACAGTTACTTACTACCTCTCACATACATAGCTTTTCTGGTTCAGTGCTGCCTTCTATTTTCAAATATTTTTCACAAGCTTTTCACTCCCACGCACCCCTCAATTCACATGGTTTAACTGATTCTTGCATGCAAATTATCATGTGCCAAACTTCTACCAATAGTAGTGCCACACACCCACATGACTCATAAGACTCCCCCTATACCATTCTACCTAACTATCACTATGAGTTTAGGCTGAAGCATAAGCACCGGGTTGACAGTGGTAAGGAAAGGTGAGAAGTGTGAGTGGAAGTAAATATATTTTCAGTGTAGAAAAATTATAACTTCCCACAAGGTACCTTACTTCCACTCACATACATAGCTAGAATCCCACATTGAATAGATGGAGGGACCGGTGTGTGAGAGAGAAAGTAGAAGCATTCTTTGAAAGCATCCAAAGGACCCTCTAATAAGAGGATTATACATGGGAGACCACATCATTTCTGTATCAAGTATACTCTTCTCCTGGATGTGGAAAAAATATGACAGATCTGGGTAGAATATTGTGAGAAGCACATCCCAATGGGAGAGAAAACAGTTGGACAATGATCCTAGCCACAATATATTATAATTTCAATCTCCCTGATGAACAGAATGTGTTTAAAATAAGGGATGCACTCCAAGGTGTAGAGTGGTTAGGGCAAGTCAACTGTGTCAAAAATCGACTGCCGGGAACTGACATTAATGCGGAAGTAGGATGAGGATCATACTGTTCGTAAGTCAACTACAATCCAAAACTCAACTGCCAGGAACTAACATCCATGCAGGGGAAGGACAGAGGATCATACCATCTTCACATCCAGTTCAGCTGATCTGAGGGAGAAATCCCACCATCGATCTATGAAAAGGGCAATGTGAAATAACACATCCTACACAAATCAAACAGACTGTAACCACCTCAAACGTAGTAACATCCTTGGCATAAAGACATTGAGGGGTAGTGCAAGATGATGAAGCAGATCAACCAACAAGTGCACCCACCATGACCCATAACACTAGGGTAGTGCTCTTGAGGCAAAATGAGTGAGAGACCAGGCACAACTTGAACACATATGAGGACTTATATTGATTGGTTTAGCTCTGAATCCAAAACTCAACCATTGGGAACTAACATCTATGTGGAGGGTAGGATGAGGGATCCCAATCATTATGACAGTGCACTCCAAAGCTACAACATCCCCTCAGACAAATCCATGCAGAGGTGGAGCATCCATTTGGAGGGAATCTCGTCATCTACACTAGCAGAACACCACTGCCCTACTCTCAACTGAATGGAGTTTTTATTGTTTATACTGTATATCTCTCTCTCATTCAGGAGGATACCTCCATGGTCTACCATCCCAGCGATGTGGAACTGGAAAGTGGTAAGGACTCTCTTACTCCACTGGGAAAAAATGGGGGGAAAAACACGGTGGATAGTTTGGAGGAATGTTCACACTGGAGGCAGTGCAATGGGTGACCAGAAAACCCTATTTTGAAAAGCAGACCAAACCCAATTTATTAAATCTAAGGAATGGCAGCAATCTCCTTCTTCTTCCTTATCCATGAAGTCCATGGGTTAGTATGATCTGGAACAGGCATAATTATGAAGCAAAGATATCACTACGAGTGATCTTGTGGAACACCCTCATCTCTGGTTTACGTGATTGTAATGAATAATGAGCATTTTGTGGACATGGAAGTTATGAAAGTGAAGTCAACATGGCCTTACAGTGCAGGTTTTAGAATAATTCTAAGTGATTGAAGCATACCTTGACAGGCACTATTCGCCACAAGCAGGATCCTGGTCAAAACATAGGACAGGCCCCCTGAAAAATAACATATATAATAAAAAAAAGAACACTTACCCAGTTACAGTCTCACCAAAGAGTGAAGGATGGTGACAGGTGGAAGACAGTACCCTGACAAGGAAGAAACAACTACCCAAAGCAGATAATGGAAGATGAAGTTATGAGGTGTAGTCCCAGTGCTCGACAACGAAGTACCTCCAACAGAAGACGGGGTTGAGTTGCAGGAAAAATGTAAGGCCTGAATGGAGTGAAAATACCAGGAATTGACTATAGAAAGAAGGAGACAAGGAATAACAGGCTAACTAAATCACAAGCTGAACCCAATGGGTAAAGACAAAAGGGAAAAAGATGTCACGAAAGGAAGATGGTGCAAGGGAATGAAACTGTCAGAAATGGAGTTAATGGAAAGAAGCCTTGAAAGCAATGAAAAAACCCAGAACATGTATGGGACAGAAGGTCACCCAGATCCAACCAAGAATAAAGGTGGAAGATGACAAGAAATGAAAATGATGAAAAGAATATTCCACACATGAGCCCCCAAAATGTAGGTTAGTAAAATTAATACAGAATTAAAAGAACATATTGAGCCAAACAGCTGAGAAAACCATGTCAGGAAGGATCAATTAGAAAGACCTGACATGGATGATCAAACTCACTTTGGGAAGAAACTGATGGAATGAGAAAAACTAAAGTTTATTGGATTTAATCCTGTCTGAACATATCGACAGCCAGGGTGAATGGATGATGAACCGGTGATTAAAAACAAAAGAGATATCATGGAATCAAGAATGGAGTCAAAGACTTCCCATGGAGATGTACCCCACAGAAGGCATAGCTACGAAAAATTTGAAAATCAAGAGGCTACTCCTTGGAAGATAGTGTGTTGGAACTAAAAAGGTGATCTGCAATAAGGTCAAAAGCACCTGGAAAACGACAAATCAGGAGACATATGTTAAGTGTGTGGGTTCAAAAAGGGTGATCCACTGCATACCATAAAGGAACAAGAACTAGTGCTCCCTTGGTGAGAGATGTACGCCACCACCATCGAATAGTTGGAATGAAACCTGATTAGTCAAATATGCACAAGAGGAAGAAAGTGAATTAAAGCAAGTTGTACTGCCCAGAAGTGCCAGGGTGTAAAATGGTAAGACTTTTCATCCATAGACCATTGTCCTGAAGCCTTCTGCTGATCGACCCACACCCCCCAGGTGGGGGATAAAAAAGATAGGATTAACAGAGACTGCTCCCTATACAGATGACAAAGATTCTAAGTACATAGTTGTAGTAGCAGAAAGCGCTCGTCCCATCCATAAAAGCCACATCCCCCAATGGGTTAGACCCTTGCTTGCAGTAAGATAATGAGCCTTAATGGTGTGGATAACAGAAAGCTCCATTGAATGCATTCAAGGAGGAGAAAAGATGGTGGGTGTTTAAAAAGCCACCCCCCCAAATAACCAAGATTGTTAGGTAGGTAACAGGAAAACATATTCAACTGAAAAATCCAACCACCCCTGTTCGGAAGGAGCTAACCAAAGCCAGATGTCCAAGTAGTGGTGTTAGTAAAATCCCCAAAATTATGGAAGTCGGGTAAAATGCAGACCACCTGACAAAAGAAACAGAACTGAAACAAGTTTGATGGGCAAGGCACAAAACTGGAGCCAAATCACATGGAGAAAAGACCTAATAGAGCATCCCAAGAAATGAAAAATAAGAATGTGTAACATGGACATTCTCAGTCCTGCAGAAATTGCCCACCCATTTGTGATCAAAGACTACATATTAAAAATGGGGAAGAAAAAAGAAGTGATAGGTGTGATCAATTGATCTAGAACTCCAGTCAGAATCAAGTATACATGACAAAAGGAGAAACCCATAGGTATGACAGGTAAAGGATGGGAAGGTGCCAGATATGGAACATGAATAAAAATGGCAATGATTCAGAATGAAACAAAAGAGCAACAAAAAAAAAAGGAATACAGCATTGCAGATACCCCACGTGATGCTAAATGCCAAGGAGTAGCCCCAAAAAATGGACCAATGGAGAAAAAGAGCAGACTCTAAGTCCCTATTAGGAAGTGGATGGTAAACAAATGATACAAAACAGTGTTCCACCCCAGAAGATCCCAAAAGCAAAGAAGCTATGTGTGGAAGGAAAGAACTGAAGATGGTAAAATGGAGGGAAAGAGGAAGAGGAAATCCCACAAAACTCCGCTAGTTATAGGTGGAACACCAAAGAAAGGAGGTGTAAATTAGAAATTTCCTCCAGGAGAGTCAATAGGCTAAGATGAACTGGAAAACAGGATGGGGGATAAAAAGGATAGGATTAACAGAGACTGCTCCCCATACAGGTGACAAAGATTCTAAGTACATAGGACGAAGAAGAAAATCTGCCTGATGTGAGCTAAGACAAACTCAACCAAAGCCTATGGAGGGCGAGGCATGCAAGTACTCTCTCCCACAAGAAACAAAATGCTCATAATGAAACATAATACTTGGAGAAGGAGGGGAAAAGTCTACTTTGAAATGTATCTAAAAAAGGGCTGAGGTAGGCCTAGCTGATTCTGCAGCAGAAACTTGGGAAGTCAAATCTAGGTCATCCTAAACGTACTCGGCAGTTATAGGAGGAAGGCGAGCAATATTGGGAGAGAGAAGATAGGGCAGACCATAGCCCAAAGGGGTTCTCACAAACTAAATTATTCATAAGAAGTATAAATTATTAAGAATTATGAAAATGAAATGGTCAATATAATGTAAATTTAAGTAAGTGTGTAGTGAAATAAATACATGTATAAGATGTCATGTCTCGAAGAAAAAAAAAATATATTTAACCTAATTATAGATTTATCCATAAGATGAACTACAGGTAAACCAAAAATAACAGACCCCTGTTAAGCCTAATCTAATGTTATAGGACAATGGATACAACTAAGCTTTAATTCCAAACCTGAATGTAACAATGAGTATTGACCAATCTAACTAAATTTATGTTACTGAACCCAAATAACTACAGATACAATATTAGCAATAAAAATATTCAAAAACCATAACAGTATAATGCCTTATCTTTCAAAAGTCAGCAGACAGTATTTCAAAATGTGTGGGTCCCCAAACTCGAGTCGAGGCCCGAAGAAGGTCAGCTCAATGGATGACCAATCTCCCGATGAAGTAAAGACAATAGTTTCACAGTCAAGGACCAATATCTGAAGCATGTGTAATCGTGCTGATAGAATATATTACCTTTGAAGTGTAGCCAAACACAACCATGTTGGCAGAAAGAAATAAAAATTAGAAAAAATTTGTAATGAAGTATTAAGTTCTGTAACTAGGTAAATAAATAAAATAATTCCACTTCCGAATAAGTACAATTATCACTATTGTATAATAAATAGTAAACTTGGTGAGAGAAATTGATACAAAGATACAAAAAAAAAACATTTGAAGAGAGCACAAATTAAACATCAAAACACAATCACTGCGAAACGAGAAGTGATAGTTACATAGAATAGCATAGTGGAAGTCACATGAGTCATGTGGCACTATTATTGGTGGAAGTTTGTTGCATGATAATTTGCACGCAAGAATCAGTTAAACCATGTGAATTAAGGGGTGTGTGTGGGACTGAAAGGCATGCTGAAAAAAACATTTAGCAAAAACAGAGGGCACCACTGAAGGAGAATAGCTATGTATGTGAGAAGTACGGTACCTAAGTAAGGAAGATAAAATTCAAAAGAATTCTCAAGTATTTCCGGTTTTTATTTACCTGAATGGGCATTGCATAAATGTTTTAGCCATTAACAAACAGGTCAAAAATATAATTTAACATATTGTATTCTACAATCAAGACAAATCTCAATCTCTGTCATTTCCATCAACTTGGAAGCAGAGCTGCTATAGGTATTGTGTGAAAAAGGAGGTAAGGTGCATTAAAGTTTAACAATTTTGTGGTAGAAATAAAAGACAAAAGACGTTTGAAAATTAGTTATTGGTTGACTAATTCACGTAATAAAACTCTTCATCATTTGAGCCAATCTGGTAAAACAAAAGAATTTCAACAGACTGTTTTTGGACAATCTTCTGAATAAAGTCATTTCATTGCTTCAATAGAACTATAAAGTTGAATGAATATTTATTATTTGGTTGTTTCTGTATTTTTAGCATAAAGCTACACAGTGGGTTAACTGTATTCTGTCAGCAGCAGGAAATGAAACCCTAATATTAGCGTTGTAAGTCCATAAACTTACCACTGACCCTCCAGAGGGTATATTTTTGGTTTTACATGTATGGAATGTATACAAAGGCAATGAAAAATCAGGTTAGAATTGTTATAAAACTTATTAAATTACCTTGTTTATAAGCTCTTTAACAAAAGACAAATCATAAAATTGTTACTATTGTCATTAATGAATTCAAAGTAAACTTAATGTCCACTAATTACTTTTTTCTGCTTGGTTAATGTGGTGCATTTTGGTGAGTCTTTCAAAAGAGGTTTGTTATAATCATAATATTAATTTTAAATGCAACTTATTTTATCCTGGTATCACTATTAAGGTCAAGTAACAGTAATATTTACCTCAAGCTTCTGTTCAGATAAAGCTAATATACTTCTCTGGGCATAAGTGTAATCATTCAACATTTTGGCTACTTGTTTCCGATCCTCTAATTCCTGTTGTAGTCTACTGTTGTAGTTGTCCAGTAAAGAACATGCTTCATTCACCTGCTTTGACAGTTTATCAGCTGCTTCCCTGTCTGAAAATATCATACAATAAACAGTTTTTGGTCTTGGCTTTAAAGATGCATTTTATTTTGTGTTTCAATTAATCCTAAATATTCAATAAAACATTAAGTGGTGTACAAAATGATAAGAACTTCCAATGTTAAAAAATAAGTCGATTTTCTGTTAGAAATCAAGTTTGTTGACTGCTCTGTGTAACAAAAAGTGAGTTATTAGCTTCTTTATATTACTTTCAGTAAATTCTGAAAATCTTTATAGGCATTTGGTATCATCTATAGGTCAACTGGCTTGCTGAGAACTGAACCTATTTTCTGGTTATGATTTTTATGCAGCAAAAATAAAAGTATTATAGATATACAATTCTGTAAACCATGCTTTAATAAATATTCATTCCAATAAATGTTTCTTTAAAGGTCTGAGTTCAAACTTGAAAATTCACTGTCTTACCATCCAACTTTTCTAACAATGTCACATCAGAAACTTCAGGTGGAAGATTTGCAATTTCTTCTCGAACAGCTGCATCAGATGAGGCTGCATTTTCTAAATCTTGAAGAGCTTTGATCAGTTCTTCAGGCTAAAATATTATATGAATGGAAAAGTCTATCAGGAGCATAAAAAATTAAAAAAATGTGATAATATGAAGCTTGTCTAAATGCTCTTTTAGAATTTTTTGTTTAGAATTTTCTTAATCACTGAAGTAAGACTAACTGATGATAAACACTTGGACATTGTACACTTCTCCCATTTAAATATTTGTGCAACAATGACTAATATCCAATCTTCCATCACTTCATCACTATTAATAGATGCATTAAAAATTAAGGTTAATGGACTGCAAATTTTCCCATCTATTTTCTTCATTATCCTAGGATATGCATATTATCTGACTCAGGTGCCTTATTTTCCTTTATTTTTCCAACCTTAAACCTTAACTCTACTTCATTCAAAGATATCAGATAATCTTCTGAAGGAAGACTTATAGAATCACCACTACATCTTCCATAGTAAAAACTAAGGAGAAAAATAACTGCAATTATTCCATCATTATTTTTTTAAAGGTCCAATTCTTTTAAAATGCTAAAAAAATATTTACTGTTACTTTTAAAGTTTTCCTCCAAATGTTTCTCATATGCTCTTTTCAATTTCCTAATATCTCTTTTAACCAGCTCTTTGGTACTTTTAGAGCAGTCTGTTTTAATTTTCTAAACTTGTAATTGTTTTCCTTGATTTTCAATTTGATTTTCTTTATAAACCATTTTGGGCTTAAGTTTGGCATCATCTTTTTATTTAATCTGAAAATGCATACTTTGTATTTGTTGCAAGATTTTCCATTTCAGACAAGCACTGCTAATTAACAGCCAGTTCTGATTTATTTGAGATAGTTTCTTTCTCATACAATGAAGGTCAACATTTTCCTAAACTGAAAATGTATTTTTGAAAGATACTTACCTCCTTTCACAAAAAGCTTTCTCAACTTGTACTGCCCTCTATCAGCACAAGTTTTTATTCACCACTAGCCTTATTACTGCATACTAGCATTCAAATGATCCTGCAGCAACCTTCCACCAACAGGAGTGTGACACTACCCTATCAACTAGCACCCTCTCTAATCATACACATGTTAATCACTTTGAGACTGGTCATAACTAACCAAACCAAAACATACCGGAAGTGGGGGGAACAGATGGGAAATGTGAGAAGAGGTAAGTATCTATCAGAAATACATTTTTAGTTTAGAAAAATGTTAACTTCTGACACGATATCTTACTTCACAAAAAGCAAGAATCCCACACTGAACTGGTGGAGGGCTGGTGAGAAGACCATCCCCCTTTTGGAAGTGCCAAATGGAAGACCATGAGGTGTGATAAGAAATTAAAAGCAACATACCAGTGGGAGACTGCACAACTTCTGGGTTAGGTATATTCTTCACCTCTTAGTATTGTGGTGCAAAGTTGAAAGGTCGGGAACTAGGAGGGGTTTAAAAAAAATACAGAAATAATGGGACCCCCTGGTGTAGAGTGAATAGAGCATGTCAGACAGTAAATGGGAGGTCAATCTGAACCAACACCTGAAAGCATCTGGAATTGTACATTACTTCCGTGATAGGAAGAGGGCCCTCAACCTTTCACTTCAAAAATGGGTATAGGCAGGGAATTGTATATCAGGTCTGTGATAGGAAGACCGTCAAACACCACGGTTCATCACAGATGGGCAGCAATCTATGTCGGGTTTGCTCACGTTAGTCCACGAGTGTATGGTCTGGGACGAACATATTTTATGAAGCAAAAGACTGCGAGGTACACCTTCTAGCAGAACACCCTATCTCAATGGTGGGTGTAAAATGACCTTGTAACGGGTTATTTGGTCTCTTTTTCTACATTTTATATCAATACATAGAAGAAATATTGGATGGAGTCGATCAACCAACCCCTGGTGGCATCTGGAATGGTACATCAAGTCTACAACATGAAGAGTCTCAACATCACAGTCATCTAGCATATTCACAGATTGTGCTGTATGGATTTAAAATTAAGTATGCCTGGTCAGGCAACACTCACCACAGAGTGGGTTCCAAGTACGAGATAAAGGCCCTCACAAAAAAAAAGAACATGAACGGAATACTTACCACCAAAGGTATACAGTTACGGAACTAATGATGTCCCCAAGGGAAGATGTAAATGTGCAGCCAGGGACATGGTAAGGTGACAGATCTGATGGAAAGAAAACATGAAAAAACAACAATCATCAGGAGAAAGGGAAGAAAACTCCAGGTGAATGAACTGGCAAGTTCAACCCAAAAGGGCGATGGGAAAAGGTCAAGGGAGAAGTGAGGAATTCACAGAAGAAACAAATGGACTTGGGAACCACGGAAGAGAGCAGTACGTGTCATATACCCCCAGAGAGCCCTGACCTGACAAAGGAGGTGTTGGGAGCAGAACATTCTAGAGTGAGGGGAGGAGTGGAACATATAAAATGGAAAATAAATACAGAACATAACATACCTGAATAACAAATCCACCAAATGGGAAAAAGGTCTGGGCAAATCCCCCTAAATGACAAGTGACTAAGGGGGGATGGGAGGCTGTCCAAATCCACAACTAAAAGATCACTGAAACTCTTGTTAGAACAATAATCAGTGTGTTCTGATTGTAGCAAGAAATTGGTCAACTCCTGATGGCCCACAGCCATCACTTCATGGGCTGAGAATTAGAGCATTGACCTATTAGTAAAGCAGTTGTAGTTGTGACCACCTCAAACTGTGAGTAAAAAACTCCTAAAATTAAAAGAGAAGATAAAATAAAATAAATTGGAACTCTCCCAGAAACAGAACGAAAATGTAAAATAACAAATTAACTGAAGGAGAAAGTAAAAACATGTGGATAGGTTAATTTAACCTTGAGTGAAAAACATATCTAATCAATAAGACTACCAATCAAGAAGTGATTAACATGTGCAAGATTAGAGAGGGCGCTAGTTACAATAGAGGTGGTGTCACATTCCTGTTGGTGGAGGGTTGCTACACGATAATTTGCATGTTAATATGCAGTAATAAGTTGGAGTAACAAGGCTAGTGGTGAGCAAAAATTTTTACAGATAGCAGACAGTAAAAGTCAAGAAAGCTTTTTGTGAGTGGAGGTAAGATATTGTGTCAGAATTAACCATTTTAAAATTTAGAACTAAGATATTATTAACCTAGATCTTAAACATAAAACCTCAAACTTAATTCTACAATGATCACTGGCTTCCAAGTATTCTCCCCCTTAAACCTGTTGAATGATAACTTCACCAGTGGTTAATATTAAATCCAAAGTATTATTATCTCTAGTTGGTTGGAAAAAACTGTCATGTACTTATTCTATAGAATGTTTCCATGTAATCCAAATTTATAGTTTTCTAAAGTTGAAATCTTCTGTAACCAGAATCTCCATGTCACAATCATTTCTAATTTCCCAATAAAGCATCTCATTAAATTCATGATTTTTATCATATGGCCTATAGAAATTTTCTAACACTAAACTCCTGTCTTTATATCTATAGGTAGACAACTATTCTGATCCTGAATTCATATTAACCTCTAATATTCTCTGGCTCAACTGACTGCAACTTTTTCTTATCATATATATCATACTTTTCCCCTTTGAATAATATTGCCACCTCAGCTAACTTCTTACAATTAATGGTTTACATTTTTTGCCATTTTAAAATATCCTTGAACTATGTGGCTACTTCTATTTCAACAATAAACTCTTGTATTGGGGAAAAACTATTTAGTGAGAGAAACAGCCATTCTGAGTTATTGGTTCAAAAAATTTTAAAATAACTTTTTTCAGTCTAGATTTAGATTTTATTTTATTTGAAAGCAAATGTGGTGCAAAAGAAAGGCCTACAATGGTGCTAAAATATTGAATAGTTGATATGTCCTAACTAGCATTTTGTGGAAAATGGCAATATATTTTTAGGAGCTTGAAAATTAAAGACTTTTAAATAACTTAAATTCACACACACACACACACAAAAAAGATATGTGTATAATCAATGTGCATAAGTTAGAAATTTTCCTATGACAACACTGTTTAAATCTGTTCGAAATAAAGCATTATCATAATTTACATGAGTACTAACCAAATCAAATTTACAAATGGTAGCTTTAACAAGCTTCTTTTGGAACTTAGTTGTTCTGTAACATGTAAACACATTATTTTATCATTAAACTTAATAAATATGTGATATATATAATGGAGTGATTGGTAAAGTATAGATGGTAAAACTCACAGAGTAAAAAATGTTTTGACAAAAAATATCTAGAAATTTAATTTGCCAAAACTTATGTTTGATAATTCAAAACAGTAAAATTTTCTTCCAGTTAGTACTTACATTAACTCAGAAACAATGATAAAACTGATCAGAATCACAGAGGGCCTTCAGAGTCTTAAAAAACTATTGTATAGCAAAGGCAAACAAATTATCTCAAGAAGAGGAGTAACCCATATGAGTTAAAGTTAGGGGTGTGAAATTCATTGTTAAAACATTTAGAATTTATCAATACATATATTATTACAATGCTCCATTATATTGTAAAATTGTAATTAGGTAACGTTTTGGAAATAATTATGGAAATGCAGAGGTGATATACATTCAGGAGTAACAAACAATGAGTAATTGAAACCAAATAGTTAACTTATTATTAGTACAATACATTATTACTGAAAATACAAAAGAGAAATCAAATTAGCTATACAATGCACTTGTATTTTGTGATTGTTTTTCTGCTACCATAGTTTCAGCAGTTTTATTGCAAAACAATGTTCCAAATGTCATGTGCAACTCTCAACAATTAAGTCAATTTCGACCTTTTCAGTTTCTATAGAAACCCAAATAGGATCAATAAAATTCATATCAGGACTTTGTGCAGACCAAACCAGGTATCATTTCACTGCACTTTCTGCATAGTTGTAATATCTTTCTCTTCTTTGCCATTGAAGAAACAACTGTTGATTGCTGCCAAGTGATTGAAATTTGGGTTCATTTGTAAAGAGCAGTTTCCTTTAGCTTTGCTCCTCCCATTGTTTAACTCTTTCAATTTAATACTTCTAACTTTCAATACAGTGTTTATACCTTCACAAAATTTAAGTCTTTCACTTAATATTATAAGTCTTTCAGATACAAAAAATCATATTTTTTAGTGAAGTATTTTTGATAAAATGAAATAAAGATTTGTCCATGAATATATTGAGTATTTGTTTTGAATAGTCTATATGCAAAGTAATTTTCATGTTAAAATTAAAAATACTTTTCCTCATCTTAAAAATATCAAATTTCCTTTGTGTACTCCCTATAACCTCCTAAATGTAATTCAAACGTTTTTTGGTAAAACTTTATAATTTATCTGTTATTTTCTCTACCCTATCTCAAAACAGGATCGGTCAATTCCACTGACCTTGTAACAACCAAAAAAAAAAAAAAACAAATCTAAATAAATATAAGTTACTTTTTTTCTTTCTAGAATGACTTCAAATTGTAACATGAAACTACATTCGTTTATCATAAGTAGCTCTAGGTTTGTAACAGTATACACCTATTTATACTTAAATTTTATTGTTTTATTGCCCTTTGAACTGTGTCTAACTACTATCTGTGTCATATGTTGTAAATCACTCAGGGAACGTGCAGCTCATGTTATGCTAACGAATTACACTACCCACAAGCTACTATGAGCTGCCCGTGTGTGTGCCTCATGAAACATTTTTATTATAACATTATTATTATTTATTTTACCTAATCTAATCTTAACTAACTTAAAAGAATTCCTATTTTTACATATTAGTTACTTTTATAAT